AAAAAAAAGAAAAAAAAATTCAAAAGCATGAAAAAGTGGAGATATTATCCTAGAGAAAAAGAATAAATTTAAAAAATCCCAAATGCAATGAATTAACCAAGAGTGGATACTGATCAGAAAATAAGTAGTTATAAAAAATCTTTGGGCACATATTTGAAGACACTATAGAAATTATTAAGTTTTTCCAGTATGATTATAGTATCACAGTTATCCAGGAAATTTGCAAATATTTAAAGGCAAAGTGCCATGATATCTACAACTTACTCTCAAATGATACAGAAATAACCCATACATAAGCAGATAAAAAGAGCTGAAATAAGATAAAGCAAGTAACATGAATGTAAACATATATGGTGGGTTACTAAACAATTATTTCAATTTTCCTGTATGTTAAATTAAAATGTACATTTCGAATTTAGGGAAAACCTCAAAGAGAACAATTTACTTCTTGATAGTCCATTATTAATTCCTACTTTATCTTAAATTGTGAACAGAGAATATGAATTGTTGGCTATTATCAAAATCTTGGCCAGGCACAGTGGCTCATGCCTATAATCTCAGTAATTTGGGAAGCCAAGGACTGCTTGAGGCCAGGGGTTTGAGACCAGCCTAGGCAACATAGTTAGACCCCATTTCCACAAAAAATGAAAAAAGCAAAAGCAAAACAAAACAAAATATGCAAAGTCTCTCTTTTTTTTTTTGAGACGGAGTCTTGCTCTGTCACTCAAGCTGGAGTGTAGTGGTGTGATCTCGGCTCACTGCAACCTCCGCCTCCCGGGTTCAAGTGATTCTCGTGTCTCAGCCCTCCGAGTAGCTGGGATTACAGGTGTGTGGCATTACGCCCAGCTAATTTTTGTATTTTTAGGAGAGATGGGGTTTTGCCATGTTGCCCAGGTTGGTCTTGAACTCCTGACCTCAGGTGATCTGCCAGCTTTGGCCTCCTAAAGTGCTGGGATTAGAGGTGTGAGCCACTGCACCTGGCCAAAATCTTCAGACACACAAAAATCGTATTTTTAATTTCCAAAATTATATAAAATTTAATAGATGAGTGGCTTTAAGCTGTTCTAAATAAATTAATTATGCTATTAGAATCTTTCATAAAAATTAATTATCAGCAACACAAATAATGACGATATCCATAATAGCTCATATTTATTTATTTATTTATTTTGAGATGGAGTCTCGCTCTGTCTCCCAGGCTGGAGTGCAGTGGCACAATCTCGGCTCACTGCAACCTCCGCCTCCCAGGTTCAAGTGATTTTCCCGCCTCAGCCTTTCAGAGTAGCTGGGACTACAGGTGGTGTCACCACACCCAGCTAATTTTTTGTATTTTTTGTAGAGATGGGGTTTTACCATGTTAGCCAGGATGGTCTCAATCTCCTGACATGTGATCCACCCACCTCGGCCTCCCAAAGTGCTGAGATTACAGGCGTAAGCCACTGTACCCGGCCAATAGCTCATATTTATTGAGCATGAGGCTATATGCCAAACAGTCTTCCCAGATTTTGACAAGTATAATTTGGGCCACATCTGCATAATAGGACTCTTATGTACCTTTTTTCTTTTTAGACAGGGCCTAAAAAAGCCAGGCTGGTGTGCAGTGGCTATTCACAGGCACCATCATACAGCACTGTAGCCTCACACTCTTGCCTCAAGTGATCCTCCCGCCTCAGTCTCCCGAGTAGCTGAGAGTACATGTGTGCAGGCTCTTGATTATACTTTGCAAATAATTCCCATAGATGATAAATATCTTGGCCAATGACACACAGGGAGTTATGTGGCAGTGATGACAGGTAAGGCATGAGCTGTGGCTAAAAGCACTACTGCATACATGACATTAACAAGTTAGTTTATTAGTACTAATTTTCAAGACCTCAACAATGATTGAGTGGTGTCAGGTGTGGTGATTTTAAAATAAAAATATGTCTGCAAATGTTTTGACATTTCTCTCTTTAAAAGGTGAAAGTGGGCTAGGCATGGTGGTTCACGCCTATAATTTCAGCACTTTGGGAACACTGTGGGAGGACTGCTTGAGCCCAAGAGTTTGAGACGAGCCTGGGCAAGTTGGTGAGACCCCCATCTCTACAAAAAAAATAAAAATTAGCTGGGCATGGTGACGCATACCTGGCGCACACCTGGTGCACAGCTACTCGGAAAGCTGAAGCAGGAGGATCACTGAAGCCCAGGAGGTTGAGGCTGAAGTGAGCCATATGCACTCCACTGGGCGACAGTGAAAGATCCTGCCTCCAAGAAAAAAAAAAAAAAGGTGAAACTTAATTCCACTCTTATTGAATGTAGGCCAGACTTAATGACTTGCTGGTAACAAATAGAATGTGGTAGAACTAACTTCCAAAGGGAGATTATAAAAAGGATCACATCTGAGAAAAGCCAATTGTCACGTCACAAGCACACTCAAGCAGCTTATGGACAAGGCCCCATGGGAGAAGAAACGACTTTCCAGTATAAACTTAGCCACAGAACCAAGCCTTTGAAAGCATATCTTCTAGCTATAGTCAAGCCTTTAGATAAGCACAACCTCTTGAGACACTTGGAGTAAGAACTGCCCAGCTTAGCCGCTCCCAAATTTCTGAGTCACAAAAACTGTGAGAAAAATACATATTTATTGGCATTTTAAGCCAGTAATTCTTCGGGTTCTCTGAAATGTGGCATGAGATAACAGATTCTGGTACCTAGACAAGGGATGCTATTGAAACAAAAAGCTATAAATGTCAGAGGGGCATTGGGACCACAAACTGTGTGGAAATTGGAAGGGCCTAGAAAATATTATTAGCAGAAACCTGGATATTTTTGAAGAGGCTCCTAGTGAGGTTTTAAAGAAAACTGAAAAATGTTACTGGAGACTATGGGGAAGGGATTCTCGTTATGTAACAGCAGAAAGCAACATTGCTGCATGTGGTAACTGTGAAAAGTATAAAATAATACATACAGAACTGTGTAACTGGGCCAGGCTCGCGCTATAATCCCAGCACTTTGGGAGGTCAAGGTAGGAGGGTCAAGAGTTTGAGACCAGCTCAGGCAACATAGAGAGACCTCATCTCTACCAAAAAAAACAAAAAACAAAAAACACAAAAAACAAACCACAAAGAATTAACTAGGTGTAGTTGTGCATACACCTGTAGTCCTAGCTACTCATAAGGCTGAGACGGGCGGATCACTCGAGCCCAGGAGTTCAAGGTTGTAGTGAGCTATGATCATACCACTGCACTCCAACTTGGGTGACAAAGCAAGATTGTGTCTTTAAGAAACAAAAACAAACAAACAACAGCAACAAAAAAAAGTGGGTAATTTAGCTTAGGAGACTTCCAAGCAGAATGTTGACGGTGTCTTCTGGCTCTTGTTGCTTAAGTGCTAGAAGTGAGATAAGCTAGAAAAAAATTGTTAAACAGAAGTGAACCAGGACTTGCTTTTGGAAATTCCCAACCTCTCCAGAAAGCAAATGATGCTAAACTTCAGAAATGGTCTCTGGACAAAGACAAAATCCAGAGCACTGTTAGGGAAACATAGTATATAGGTAACCTTAGGGTATGTGTTCATACTGATCCTCTGAAAAGCAAAAAACAAGGTCAGATCAGAAGGAAGGAAGGGGCTATGAATGAAAAAGAGGTCCAGGAAAGGCAGTGAAAGCCTTCAGGTCACGGTTCAAGACGGATGACTCTGAAGGAGAAGAATGAAGCAAGATTGGTAGAAAAACTATGAAAACGCAGGGCTATGAAGACAGTTTAAGCCTGGCTGATGGGAAGCTGATTCACAGTTCCCCAGCTGAAGGGTCTGGGTTTCATAAGAATTGACTAGTATGAATACTTCTGTTACAGAAAAGGGGCTGGGGGCAGCCCATGGGAAGCATGGCCTCAACATTAACACAGTGATTATTTCAGAGAGGGAGCAGAAGGGGCACTTCACAGCAGGTTATCTGTTCTCCAAAGAATAGAGTATGACTATTAAAAACCCTTGGTTAAGACCCCAGAAATATCTAATGTGACAATTATGAGAATCATCACTCAATGAAATTTCTATAAAAGGTTCTGTCAGCAGCCTCTGCAGAAGCCCAACGTAGAGGAGGCCGGATCTGCATGAGAGTGAATGAACAAGTGAGCATGAGCACTAGGGAAAGGCGATCCTGAAGATTCTGTTCATTAGAAGCAAGTGACTAGGTTCACCTCACATGCAAAGGGAGGCAAACTGGACTTCTGTTTTTTTTGTTTTTTGTTTTTGTTTTTGAGATGGAGTCTCACTCTTTTGCCCAGGCTGGAGTGCAGTGGCACAATCTCAGCTCACCACTGCAGCCTCTGCCTCCCAAGTTCAAGCGATTCTCCTGCCTCAGTCTACCTAGTGGCTGGGACTACAGGCATGTACCATCACGCCTGGCTAGTTTTTTAGTTTTTTATTTTTAGTAGAGATGGGGTTTCACTATGTTAGCCAGGCTTGTCTCAAACTCCTGACCTCAAGTGATTCGCCTGCCTCGGTCTCCCAGAGTGCTGGAATTACAGGCATGAGTCACCATGGCCGGCCAGACTTCAAGTTTGAAGGGTAGAGTTTCAAATAATTTGAGGGCATATTTTTAAAACACCATGACTGGCACTCTGAATACAAATTGCTTATATTTCTACGTCATGCAAAATATCCTCAAGAAGCCACCCAAATTGCTTGAGCCCAGAAGTTGAAAGGTGCAGTGAGCTATGATCATGCCTCTGCACTCCAGCCTGGGTGACACAGCAAGACCCTGTTTCAAAAAAAAGAAAAAAACTCCAAAGTCTCATTCATTTGTAGTATCAACTACGCTCAGGCTGGGATTTCCTCTTGTAAATCGAACCCACCGTGGATGAGGACAGCTTTCTCCTGGCACTCTCACTCTCTAAGCCAGCCCACCAGTGCGAGCGAGTCACCTGGAAAACAGATCCTTCAGCCCCAACAAGTCCTCAGAAGACCACAAGCTCAAGGAAAAACCAATCCAAAAGCACTCAGTTAAGTCTCTTCCCGAATTTCTGACCCTCAGAACCTATGAGTGATGTTTACTGTTGTGGTAAGACATTAAGGCTTGGAGTAATTTGTAATACAGCCATTGAAATCTAGTATGAAAGGCTTTTGGTCATCCTTTTAATTAATAAGTTTATATAAAAAAATCCATGCCATGGATGTTGTAGGCATGAAGAAACTGGGATTCCTTTTTTGTTTTTGTTTTTGTTTTTTTCTTAATTTACCATTGAACAGTCAGATGTTCCATTAAAATATCAACATCGAATGCTTTCTAATGTGGCAAGAACTGCATTTTGAACTCTCTCAATTGCTAAAGCCATACCTGTAAGACTAACATTCCATCATTTCTCACCAGTGTGGACTGTCTGATGATGAATGGCGAGCTCGTACTCTTTATGGTCTTAGACTTTTGTGCTCCTATGAATTCCCTGATGGGCTTTAAGGGCTGAACCATATCTGAAGGTTTTCCCACACTGCTTACACACATAGGGTTTCTCACCAGTATGAATTCTCTCATGTTGAACAAGGTTTGAAGCACGACTGAAGGCCTTCCCACATTCTTTACATTCATAAGGTTTTCCACCAGTATGAATTTTCTGATGTTGTGTAAGGTAGCCATACATTTTAAAGGCCTTTCCACATTCTTTACATTCATAGGGTTTTTTATCAGCATGAATGCTCTGATGTGCAGTAAGGTGTGAAGTACGTCTAAAGGTCTTCCCACATTCCTTACATTCAAAAGGTTTCTCATCAGTATGAATACTTTGATGTAGAGTAAGATTTCTATAGAAAGTAAAGGTTTTTCTACATACCTTACATTCATAGGGTTTCACACCAGTATGAATTTTCTGATGTTGATTAAGATATCCATGCAAGCTAAAGGTCTTTCCACATTCCTTACATTCATAGGGTTTCTCACCAGTATGAATTTTCTGATGTTGAATAAGGTTTGAGCCAGTACTATAGGCCTTCCCACATTCCTGACATTCAAAAAGTTTCTTACCAGTGTGAATATTCTGATGTCGAGTCAGATTTCTATACAAAGTAAAGGTTTTCTTACACTCCTTACATTCAAAGTGTTTCATGCCAGTATGAATTTTCTGATGTTGTTTAAGGTAGCCATACAAGGTAAAGGCCTTTCCACATTCCTTGCATTCATAGGGTTTCTCGCCAGTATGAGTTTTCTGATGTTGAAAGAGTTTTGAACCAGTAGTATAGGTCTTCCCACATTGCTTGCATTCAAAAAGTTTCTCACCAGTATGAATATTCTGATGCCGAGTAAGATTTCTATACAAAGTAAAGGTTTTCTTACACTCCTTACATTCATAGGGTTTTCCACCTTTATGAATTCTCTGATGTAGAAGAAAGTATGAGGCAGTCGTATAGCCCTTCCCACATTCTTTACACTCATATGGCTTTTTACCAGTGTGAACACTCTGATGTACAGTAAGTTGGTGACATCTTCTAAAGGCTTTTCCACATTTCTCACATACGTATGGCTTCTCATCAGTATGAATCTGCCCATGTTCAACAAGATTTGAGCGCCTACTAAAAGTCTTCCCACATTCCTTACATTTATATGGTTTTTCGCCAGTGTGAACTCTCTGATGAATTCTAAGGTGTCCACCTTGACTAAAGGCCTTCCCACACTCCTGACATTCATAAGGCTTCCCACCAGTGTGAATTCTCTCATGTTGAGCAATGTGTGAGGCATATATAAAGGCCTTCCCACATTGCCTACATTCATAGGTCTTCTCACCAGTATGAAATCTCTGATGCACAGTCAGCTGATAACCACTTTTAAAGTCCTTCCCACATTCTGTACATTCATAGGGTTTCTCACCAGTATGGAATCTTTGATGGAGAGTAAGTTGATAACCACTACGAAAGTTCTCCCCACACTCTTTGCATTCATAGGGTCTCTCAATAATATGAAACTTGTGATGTAGAATAAGTTGATAACCACTACTGAATTTCTTCTGACACTTCTTACATTCATAGAGTTTCTCTCTCTTATATATGCTCTGAAGTTGTACAGAGGATATACCTGTTTCATAAGTGGGTACTTCTATGTAGCTGATTATCTCACACTGTAAATCCAAATCTGAAACAAAAAAGGACAACAAAAAAAATTTGTTTCTATATCAGAGAACAAGAAACTTTATGAAACAAAGAAAAACCAACCCTCACAATAAGTGAATGGCATACAGAATTCAAAAATATGGTTATGAAATTTGAAAAAGGCCAAGAAGAGTTCAGAGATGTATACGAGTTTAAGTAAGATAGTGAAATTACTTATTGAGGACATATGTAACATTTAGGTGGGGCTAGAATTTTTAACAAGCTTGTTCCAAATCTGCCATCTTGGCACTGTCAAAGACCAAGTGAATTAAAACTGAGAGGAGAAAAACCTTGACATCTTTATTTTGAACCTATCACTGATTTAGATGCAGGTCAGTGTTTAAGAATACATCCTTTAAGTTCCTCAAGTGATTTTTCATTGTTCTTAGAATAAAATACAAATCCCTTTCCAAGGACTGCTGCTTACCTAGGAGGTCTCATGTCAAAACAACTAACTCTTTGCTTCCTATTCTCTATCATAGTTCCTCTTTGCAACACCAAAAATATAGTACAATTGCCCCTTCGTATCTGTGGAGGATCAGTTCCAGGACCTCCTGCAGATACCAAAACCCAATCCAGCTACAGATGCCCAAGTCCCTGATATAAAATGGCATAGTATTTGCACATAACCTATACGCATCTTCCTGTATACTTTCAATCATCTCTGGATTACTTACAATACCTAATACAATGTAAATGCTATGTAAATAGCTGTCCTACTGTATTACTGAGAAAATAATGACAAGAAAAAAGTCTGTATGTGGTCAGTACTCTCACAATTTAAAAATATATGTTTGATCTGAAGATGGTTGAATCCATGAGTGCAGAAGTCATGGATACAAAGGGCCAACTATACAACTTGCCACAACACTTAATGCTGTCCACAGACTGTTTAACTGCTCAAGAGTCCTTGGACTTAGACATTTCACAGGCTGAATCCTTCTCATCCTTTATGTTTCAGGGTAAATGTTCTTTCTTTAGAAAGGCAGTACCTGCTAACTCTGTCTCTCTATCTTTATCTATCTATCTATCTATCTATCTATCTATCTATCTATCTATCTATCCATCCATCTAGCTATCAATCAATCAATCATCAAGACAGGGTCTTGCTCTGTCACTCAGGCAGAAGTACAGTAGCCCAATCATAATTCACTGCAGCCTTGTACTCTTCCAGCTCAAGCGATCTTCCCACCTCAGCCTCTCAAGTAATTAGGACTACAGATGCACAACACTACGCCTGGCTCATTTTAAAATTATGTGTAGAGACAGGGTCTCACTATATTGCTTATCCACCATGATCAAGTCAGCTTCATCCCTGGGATGCGAGGCTGGTTCAACATACACAAATCAATAAACGTAATCCATCACATAAACCGAACCAAAGACAAAAAAACCACATGATTATCTCAATAGATACAGAAAAGGCCTTTGATAAAATTTAACTTCCCTTCATGTTAAAACTTAAAACTGGCAATAAACTAGGTATTGATGGAACATATCTCTACAGAAAAGGCCTTTGATAAAATTCAACATCCCTTCATGTTAAAATTTAAAACTGGCAATAAACTAGGTATTGAAGGAACACATCTCAAAACAATAAGAGCTAATAAGAGCTATTTATGACAAACCCACAGCCGATATCATATTGAATGGGTGAAAGCTGGAAGCATTCCCTTTGAAAACCAGTACAGGACAAGGATGCCCTCTCTCACCACTCCTATTCAACATAGTACTGGAAGTTCTGGCCAGGGCAATCAGGCAAGAGAAATAAATAAAGGTATACAAATAGGAAGAGAGGAAGTCAAGTTGTCTCTGTTTGCAGATAACATGATTTTATATTTGGAAATCCCCATCATCTCAGGCCAAAAACTCCTTAAACTGATAAGCAACTTCAGCAAAGTCTCAGGGTACAAAATCAACGTGAAAAAATCACAAGCATTCCTTTACACCAACAATAGACAAGCAGAGAGCAAAATCATGAATGAACTCCCATTCACAATCGCTACGAAGAGAATAAAATACCTAGGAACACAATTAACAAGGAATGTGAAGGACTTCTTCAAGGAGAACTATAAACCACTGCTCAAGGAAATAAGAGAGGACACAAACAAATGGAAAAACATTCCATCCTCATAGATAGGAAGAATCAATATCGTGAAAATGGCCATACTACCCAACGTAAATTATAGATTCAATGCTATTCCCATCAAATTACCATTAACATTCTGCACAGAATTAGAAAAAAACTATTTTAAATTTTATATGGAATCAAAGAAGACACCGTACAACCAAGACAATCCTAAGCAAAAAGAATAAAGCTGCAGACATCATGCTACCTGACTTCAAACTACACTACAAGGCTACAGTAACCAAAACAGCATGGTACTGGTACCAAAACAGACATATAGACCAATGGAGCAGAAAAGAGACCTTAGAAATAACACCATGCATCTACAACCATCTGATCTTCGACAAACCTGCCACAAACAAGCAATGGAGAAAGGATATCCTATTCAGTAAATGGTGCTGGGAAAACTGGGTAGCCGTATGCAGAAAACTAAAACTAGACCCCTTCCTTACACCTTATACAACAATCAACTCAAGATGGATTAAAGACTTAACTGTAAAACCCAAAACCATAAAAACCCTATAAGAAAACCTAGGCAATACCATTCAGTACATAGGCATGGGCAAAGACTTGATGACAAAAATGACAAAAGCCATTGCAACAAAAGCCAAAATTGACAAATGGGATCTAATTAACCTAAAGAGCTTCTGCACAGGAAAAGAAACTATCATCAGAGTGAACAGACAACCTACAGAATGGGAGAAACCTACTCATCTGACAAAGGTCTAATATCCATAAATTACATGGAACAAATTTACAAGAACCAAACAATACATCAAAAAGTGGGCAAGGGATATGAACAGACACTTCTCAAAAGAAGACATTTGGTTGGGTGTGGTGGCTCACGCCTGTAATCCCAGCACTTTGGGAGGCCAAGGCGAGTGGGTCACAAGGTCAGGAGTTCAAGACCAGCCTGGCCAACATGGTGAAACCCTGTCTCTACTAAAAATACAAAAAAAATTAGCCAGGCATGGTGGCAGGTGCCTGTAATCCCAGCTACTTGGGAGGCTGAGGCAGGAGAATCACTTGAACCCGGGAGGTGGAGGTTGCAGTGAGCCGAGATCAAGCCACTGCACTCCAGCCTGGGTGACAGAGTGAGAATCCATCTCAAAAAAAAAAAAAAAGAAGACATTTATAAGGCCAACAAACATATGAAGAAAAGCTCAACATCATTATCAGAGATCATCAGAGAAATGCAAATCAAAACCACAATGAGATACCATCTCACACCAGTTAGAATGGTGATTATTAAAAAGTCAGGAAAAACAATAGATGCTGGTGAGGCTGTGGAGAAATAGGAACACTTTTACACTGTTGGTGGGAATGTAAATTAGTTCAACCACTGTGGAAGGCAGTATGGCGATTCCTCAAGGATCTAGAACCAGAAATACATTTGACCCAGCAGTCCCATTACTGGGTATATACCCAAAGAAATATAAATTATTCTACTATAAAGACACATGTACATGTATGTTTCCTGCAGCAGGATTTACAATAGCAAAGACTTGGAGCCAACCCAAATGCCCATCCGTGATAAACTGGATAAAGAAAATGTGGTACATATGCACCATGGAATACTATGCAGCCATAAAAAGAAATGAGATCATGTCCTTTGCAGAGACATGCATGAAGCTGGAGGCCATCATTCTCAGCAAACTATCACAGGAACAGAAAACCAAATACCGCATGTTCTCACTCATAAGTGGGAGCTGAACAATGAGAACACACGGACACAAAGAGGGGAATAACATATACCAGGGCCTGTTGGGTGCTGGGAGGTGAGGGGGGGGAACTTAGAGGACAGGTCAAAAGGTGCAGCAAACCACCATGGCACATGTATACCTATATAATAAACGTGCATGTTCTGCACATGTATCCCGTTTTTTTGTTTTAGGAAAAAAAAAAAAAAGACTAATGATGTCACACACATATACCAAGAAGGTAGGAAAACGTTTATAACTCTCATCATGAGGCTTTCTAGAGAGCAGAGCAGCTCCCAAACAGGTCATAAAACAACTTGAGAGATTAGGAAAAGGCTGGCTTGGAGTTTGCATGGTGGTTAGGGCGTGGTGCTGGGCTGAGTGTTCCTGCTCATGGGATGGGGTTCACATGGTTTGAATGTAAAGGAGGGAGCACCTAGGTTTTCTATCAGCTGGCCCAGAAGTAAACAGAAGGGGGAAAAAAAGAGGAGTCGTCAGCAGTTAAACATCAAAAACAGAGTCAGGGACTGGAGTGGCGGCTCACGCCTGTAATCCCAGCACTTTGGGAAGCCGAGGCAGGAGGATTGCTCAAGCCCAGGAGTTCAAGACCAGCCTGGGCAACACAATAAGACCTCTTCTTTACAAAAAAAAAATTTAAAAACTTGGCTGGGCATGGTAGCATGCACCTGTGGTCCCAGATATTCGGGAGGGCAAGGTGGGAGAATTGCTAGAGCCCAGGCGGCCAAAGCTGCAGTGAGCTGTGTTCATGCCACTGCACTTCAGGCTGGGAAACAGAGCAAGACCCTGTCTCAAAAAAAAAAAAAAAAGAAAACACTTTTTTTTTTTTTTTTTTTTTTGAGACGGAGTCTCGCTCTGTCTCGCAGGCTGGAGTGCAGTGGTGCAATCTTGGCTCACTGCAAGCTCCGCCTCCTGGGTTCACACCATTCTCCTGCCTCAGTCTCCCGAGTGGCTGGGACAGCAGGCACCCACCACCACGCCCAGCTAATTTTTTGTATTTTTACTAGAGATGGGGTTTCACCCTGTTAGCCAGGATGGTCTTGATCTCCTGACCTCGTGATCCGCCCGCCTCAGCCTCCCAAAGTGCTGGGATTACAGGCGTGAGCCACCGCACCCGGCCAGGAAATCCTTAAGAAA